TACGCATGCACACACATGGCCTTGGCGGCAAGAAGTCTGAGCGGGCCATTGAAAGCGTACAGGGGTGCGACTTTGACGGTCAATTCTCTTAGATTTTTAGGTTTTGTTGATTTTTTTCTTCAGAAAATCCCATTAAATCGTTTTGCTATTAGTTTTTGATTAAAGTTGAATTTTTTGTGCTCTGTAGAAAGACTTTATTATCGTACTTTTTTCCTGTGCGCACGAGATCACCGTTTCTTAGTATGACCCCCTTCCATCTTAAGTAGTATAAATTACATTGTTAGTGTTCTTGGAGCCAACCTGCGCATTTGTAAAAACACGAACTGATGTTGAATGTACATGCATACTCAGCTTGCATAGCTTTACCATTAAGCTTTATTCAACTCTGCAGTCAATTAGCCCCGGTGCTCTCCGTCTCTACGCTGAGCCATTGGCGCAGTGCGGCGATTCGATCATTGCGCCTCACCACCTTCTTGTCTGAGCGGCAGTGCGGTCAGTACATACCGCTAGCCCCATCCAGCACAGCTCCCACCACGGCCCGATGGGTCGAGTTCTGCAATGCAATACACCCGTACCGTGCCCACTATGTTTGACTGGAGTTTCTAATCTTCCTGCCTTCGCCTCTGTAACTGTGCCTCTGATGTGTTGCACTGTTGTCTTAAGCTACACCTCATTCAAAACCATGAACTTAGTTCAAGCAATAGAAGAGAAGTGAGAGCAACAAACCAGCTCTACAGTTTGACTGTCACCTCAAACCTTTGTATCCCGCTCATTTTAGTACATTCTGTAAAATGTTGACCCTGATTATCACATCCTTTGTGAACAATAGTAAAAGCCCATATTGCTGAAAAAGGTCAACGCTTTAGCGCAAAGTCATCATGCAGCGCTTGACATGACACAAACGGGACATGGACGAAAATTGGAGTTTAATTTAAGAACACTTTGCGAGACATGGGGAGTGCAAGAAGTAGGAATCGAGGGGAAGCGAGCTGCAAGGCCTACTCATAAATAACTGGATCCATTACAAATGTAAAAGACTGTTTCCTTTGTTCCCCTTACGCTTTGACAACTTTGGTTAACGTTCTTTAGACTTTAGTGCAGAAATTAAAATGATGTCCCGGACAGCCAATCTTACAAATCAGTTTGACGTTCTGCATCGTCCAGAAGCTACATGTAAAAATCATCACACAGTTTACAAATGGACTGCTTTGCAGATAAACTTTAATCTTTCATGCCGATTCACATCATGATTGTACTGACTGGAAAGATAAAACAACCCAAAAAAAGAAGAACAGCCAAAAGGGCGAGATAATCTAGGCCCTTCGTATTAGTCTTGCTAATTTAAAATAAGGCATATCTCCCAAAAGAAGACTCGCCAATAATGCATAAGCATGAATTGGCACAGAAACGTTTTTGCTATAGTTTGGTGGCTTATCGCATTCGTCAGATTTCATATGACCCAAAAGCACATTATAGTCAGGGTGTCTGGTTTCGTTTTTGCAGTACGGGTATTCAACTTCGTTTCGCAGCCCTCAAAATAAATGAATGTGCATCACATTTCATTTCAGAAGTAACAAATAAGAGATTGTGATTTCGATTTGACGTATTCGTTGCCAATTGTAACCTTTTTGCGATCTTAGTCGCCGAACAAAATTGTCGGTATTGAGTATTCATTTTCATTTGCTGAAATTATAATTCACAACATTTGCGTTTAATTTGATTAGAAATATACAGGGTTACAGAAATCATGACACTACTTTGATAATGAAGGTATTGTTACTTGTGCAGGATTATAGTGTGTTTGTTATCAAACGTAAAGCAATTAAAGTCTATGACTTTCTGTATCTTCGTGATCAGCAATTGCAAGAAGGCTACGTGTGAACTTCCATGTGATCGTGGCAAAAAATTAGCGCGAGAAGTAAAGATTGCCTCAGCGTTGGTGTTTGTATAGGAATCGTACAGTAGTCGGTATGTATGTAAGGCAATATGAGTGGTCTATTTCGGTCATGAATATTCAAACATTTCACCATTCAACTAGACACTTTTAAGGATATAACTTTTGTTAGCACACAAATGAATTCAAATTCCTGACCAGTCATACCTTAAATAACACTTCGGACGAAATTGCATGCATATTTTGCGAGTTCAAATTAAGATTAACGCAGGATTGCAGAGGTACATTCGATTTCGCACAAAAACGAATGTTAACAATCTAAACCAGTGCAATATCGAAAAATTGAACGCTGAATTTATATGATTGAAAACACCCTCACTGAAATAGAATTTTGTACTTGTTAAACAGAAACGGGGATTTCATTGTTTGTTCCATTTTGCACAAAAACGAATACCCCCATTACTAATTCATTTACACATTTTCCGATTTGAAAACCAATAATAATGAAAAAGAAAAACGCACTTATATTAAAGAAGCGAAATTATCCTCTCAAATGTGAGTGGGTTGTGCAGCCAAGGGAAATGTAGGGTCAGATAATAATTACGGTTTTACCTATAAAAATAAATTGTAATTTAAACAGTTAAAAAGCTTAATCAGTTCGTCCAAGCACAAAAAGTAGATAAAAATATCGACTGTTTTCCCTTATCCGTTTTTGGTGTAACTCACAATTTTAACTTGGAGGCATTTTCTTGTGATCAGAGAAGCGAAAACGCGGTATTTAGGCCCTACAACATCTTATGAATCTTATACTTTAAGGATAATAATAAGGCTTACAATTACCCTGGTTATCTGTTAGGGTTATCTACAGATTCAAAAGCCCTTATTTAACAGTCTAGAACATAGTTGGTTAAGTTCTGCCGAGCAAAATTTTGTTCCTTATTAAAATATGCAATGACGATACGAATGCCTTTGGAATATTTATTTTAATCAAACTATACAAGGTAACTTACACTCACATTCTCCCTCCCTCTTTGACATCCACGTCTGGGTGGCCATTGATTAGTTACACTATAGAGAAAACAAACAAAAATGTAAGAACAAAAGAAAACAAAGTGACCGAGGTACAAGTCACAACAAATTGCTATGCTGCATGGGCCGTCATGTTTCTGATTACGTGACTTCTCACCTGATGACGTCATCCTCACATGAGGTCAATCTCCGTCTAAATCACTTCCCTTCCAATATATCTGCACGGTTTGAACCCAATTCAAAATATATGTCAGGAGATTCAACGTTTTAAATGGTGCCCCTGTTATGTCAAGTGACTTATTGTTTGATGACGTCATCACTAACTGAGCTCAATATTTGCCTAAAGCACTTCCTTTCCAAGATATAAGCAAGGTTTCAACCCAGCACTAACACCGGCAGACTAATACAGTTGAAAAAACTTCATACCTATTACCACTTTTAGTCAATAAGCCTACTTCCGGTTTCGACCGCAAGGAAGGTTCACGTGATTTGATCCACACGAGATGAATTGAAAACCCAATTTTACTCTGGCACTTAGCGCAAAAAGTATGTTGCAGGAAGCCACGGTTGATTTTATATGGATCTTAAAAACTTAACAGAATATCTAAATATTTAAAATGTAATAATAAATCACTTGATGATGTCATCATTACGTAATTGTTCAAGTATCATCTTTGCCCCACGGTCTTTCCTTGGTGTAACACTGATGACGATTGAAGATAGCTGAGTAACCAAAATGATGCTTCAAAAACGTGTTCAAAGTCAAGTCAATGGGTTGAACTAAATATTGAAAAATAAATAATAAATTAGTTGATGACGTCATCATAACGTCATTGCTCTGGGACCATCTATGCTTAAGGGTTACTCTTTAACTTAAGTTTGATGAAGATCCGAAGTTGCTAAGGGACCAAAGTCGTCGGTAGAAAAAGTGCACAAATCAAATGAGATTTGGGTCAGAAGAAGAAACGAGAAGTCATCTCTCTGTTTGCCAACAGAATAGAGGGCTTTTTCGCATCACTTTCTTAAGTTGAACAGCCAATCTACTGCACAAACCCGATGGCGTAAATCTGTCATTATGACCATTTGAATCCAAGGTTTCAACCCAATTAGGCATGTAATTCAGGAAATAGCTGCTGTAAATAAAATGTAATTTGACTCCTCATCTCTTGATGTCATCATCGCATCAAATACACGTTCGCCTAGAACACTTCATTTCCTTGTTATCTGCAACGTGTGAAATCAATGGAATATGTACCTGAGGAGATGTAGGGCTTTAATTAGTGCACCTTAAATGTCACGTGACTTGTCTCCTGAGGACTTTATCATCACATGAGGTCAGTATGCCTCTAAAGCACTCCCTTTTGAAGACATCTGCAAGATTTGAACCAAATCGGAGATCTATTTCAGGAGATATAGGGCCTTAAAGAGTGCATCGTTACTTCACGTTAATGTCACCTAACTTGTCTCCTGATGACGTCATCATCACATGAGGTCAATATTCCTCTAAAGCACTCCCTTGTGAAGATATCTGCAAGATTTGGACGCGATCAGACATGCATTTAAGGAGATATTAAATCTTCAAAATTAAATAATAAATCTAATGATGATGTCAAAGTGACGTCATGCTCCCATGTTCATCTATGCTGAGGGTCTTTGCTTGTACATGTATCAAGTTTCATTTTCTGAAGCGGTCAAAGTCTTTGCCATTCTGGCAGTAGAAAAACGTGTACAGAACCTATGGGGAAAGTAACTACTCCAAAATTCAATAAAAAATCAGGTGATGGCGTTATTATGACGCCATGCTTCGCGGCACATCCTTGCCATAGGGCCTTTGCTTGAGGCAACTTTGATGAAGATTGAACCTTGGGAAGGGACTAAAGTGTTGCCAAGAAAAACTGAGTAGAAGAGAAACTAGATTCGGGAGACAAGAATAGCCAGGATCAGCAGGAAAAAATGACAGACAAAAACAATGCCTTTTTCGAAAATGCGAAAAAGCCCCCCCCCCCCAAAAAGAACAAAAAACAATACCATTTTCGCAAAATGCGAAAAAAGCAAATTGGACACGAAAATCAGTTTATTGACTTTTACACCATGTAATGCAATTTTCTCAATTTGCTTTAATAGTTAGATATCATCTTTTTGTAATGCTAGCAACAAGGTTGATTGCATAATGACAACTGCTGTATATGTATTCATCCGCAACCGGATCAACTAGAACAATACAAGAGCCCCTGGAGGAGAGAATGGCCCTGATCCAAACCACAAAGCATGAATGTTGGCGTGAGCCAGAACCCTCGGCGATAGATCGCTCGTCCGTTTGTGCCGACCCCACCCCCTCAAGATAAGCAATTCCACCTCTCCTCCCAGGGCCTGGGCCATACAACCCACGACTTTTTTGTGGTTGTGCGTGTGTGTGTTGCTTCAGCAACGGTGCACACCCAACCAAGTGTGGCCACGAAGACCGACCTTATTCAAACAAGGTTCAGTCGTAGCACCTGGGTGCAATGTTGCAAATTACTATGGCAGCTCGTTACCTCGTTATCAATGTAATCTCTCCAAATAGATCGAATGGCACCAGATCTGTAGCTTGTTATTAACAACTAAACATGGCTTGTTCTGCTTTACTAATAATACGTACACTCCGCTAGCAATTATAATAAGGTTTGAAGCCATCCATATTTCTACCTTGTGACATTTGTTCGTTGGTTCTCTTGTGGTGCTAGTTTATTAAGTATCGTCTCAACCCCTTGATTCCAGGGGCACAAATTGTGCCAACAATTGTTCGTGAACTCAAGACCAGCTAAAACAATGACAGTTGACCCAAGAGTGGCGCTCATGCCATAACACTTAGTTTACCATTTTTTGTAACCAACTGACACCGTAAATTAGGCACTTCCCTATATTCACTATAATTTAACAATGATTTCCAAAGAGCGGCACAATTTCCATGACATTTAGTATACCAGCTCCGTTACCAACTGACACATTTAAGTTAGGGACATAACTACATCTACTACAAGTTAACAATGACTTCATGATCTTACATATCTTAAGAAAGTGCCTCTGTGAGCATGACTAGCGCCGTTGGCTACTCAATCGTCTTCTGGGACACCAATCTGTGCCCACACGGAGACAATGTGAATTATGTTGTACCATTCACATCCCTTTCGGTCCAGCGACTGTGCTGTCCTGCAGGCATATTGTACGTAAGATTCTCAAATCTATGAAATGTGTGTGTTGCTGGACTCAGCATTTGCCGCCTGCAGTGCAGCTACAAAGTCTTGAATGAAGATATTGGACTCCTCATTAGACAGATGAATCCATCTTTATGGAATAGCCGGGGGCATGATACTGTTATCTGTGGGTGGAATATGGCTGATGTGTTCTCCAGTTTGTTCAACCGACGTCTGGCTCAGGAATTCAAGGATTTCCTAACCCTCTCCAGAGCTTTCTGTGATGAGCTTTCCTTCAACCAGCTGCGGTACATCATTCTGGGTATGGGTAGAATACAGGACCAAGTTACGTAGCACTTTAGCTGGCAGTGCCGAATTACGGATATGCAAGTAACTATTGCATCACGACAGCATTTTGTTTCGCATCGTCCCATGCCATTCGACCCTGGGTGCACGATTAGCAATGATGGGGGTAGGTGTGCCTGTAGCAGCCTCTTCAAGTCTTTTGGCAAGTCATGCAGCAGTGCCCCCCCTCTCTAGCAAACCAGTGGACCGCTGCACTGGTGGTGCCCAGAGTAGCCGATTGTGTAGCTAAGGGTCGATCTTTAGCTCGACGAATAAAACTGTCGCCGACCACCCACACTCTGTGTGTGTGACCTGATGAAAATAAAAATATATAAAATATGTATAAAGATATACAATAAGCCAAATGAAAATAACAGATTGTGAGGCACATAGCCCACTTGGTACACAATACACTTAATCACATTAAAGCTACAGTATGAACATGTGTGTTATCTCTGGGTGAAGATCTCCCATGGGGTTTCGCATGGGCCATGTTTTTTGTACGGGGACACCCCGCCGATAGATCAATGACATCGCTGCTTATCCGGGGGACGTTACATCCTAATGTACTTGCGAAAAACATCACTTTGCCATCTGCCCATTCTTTTTATTACTGCGGCAGATGCGCCTTTTAAAGCAGCTGTGGTTGTGGCACCAATTCCGAATGAGTGTGTTCCAAAACGAACAAGTTGAAGTCCAACATATCCCAAGGCCTTAAGTAACACTGCCCTAAAACTGGTACCGTGTGAGAGGGGTGCCGTCGACATGGATAAACAGAGGGCCCCTGATTGCAGGCTGTAGACCCAGATACGGTATCATTGCACGCACAAGTCAATAGTGACCGCTTAAACTCGTAAGGTGACAGCCCGAGCCCTGCTGATCGGTTTTCGAGAATGGAATCCAAACTAATACAACCTGCCCCGATCCCCACTGGATATCTGTAATGGCCAGCACCCGTCCAGAAGGAGCTCCTCTAGTGGGAACTGTGAACTCACCAACTCGCAAGAGGCCAAAGTATGCGAGCAGGAATGCGGCCTGAAACAAGACACATTCAAAGGGAGGGTGTACATACAGTCTATAACGCCGGAACAATTTGACGTAAAATATTCCACGTGATGGAATTCTGTCTTCTATGGCCCTCCTGTATCTTTTTTTATTAGAAAGTGATGGGTAGGGTCCTCCCAGCTATGATTTTTGTGCAAACGAGACATCGCTGCCACGTGCAATGCAAGTGTTGATGAGGCTAATCCTTTTATAGACAATGATGCGATAAAGGACAGGACATGGCACGTTGTGGCCAGCCATCAGGTGTCACAGCCTTCACCACCGCGGAAGTCTTGTATCTGCGGCCCGTTGGTAGGCGTCTTTTGTCCCTGGTGCTAGTGACAAAGAAAGCAGCCTGTGAGCCTCATGGGCTAGATGGAATCTGGTAACCCTGCTGCTTCTTGCTTTTCTTGTTGAGCCACCAGCCTGAACTCGGACAACTGTAAACGAGACAATGAGTCGCCAATAACATTTCGTTTGTCCCAGTGTGAGTTGCCTTGAAGGTGATATTGTACTTGAGACATGACAGCACGAAATATCTGACCACCGACATTATCTTAGGGCATCCTGATGTTTGTTTGTTGATAATGTACTTGAGCAACATATTATCTGTGAAGAATATAACTTGTTTCCCTGCTAGATCTCGACCCCACACTTCTACTGCTGTTACTATAGGGAACATCTCTTTCCATGCAATAGAGTATTCCCCGCCCGCAATTTTACAAAGCCATCTCCCGCAAAACTGTTTCCCTTGATAAAATCCCCCGTAACCGACTCCTCAACTAGCATCGGTGAACAATTCAATGTCCCAATTTGTACTCCAGTGCTGTTCGCTGATGATTCTAGTACCATTAAAATAATCCAGGAAACTTAGCCACAGGTCCAGCTTTGCACCTTCTGATAATACTATTTGCGTCTCGTTCCGTGTAGTCCCTTTTAATGTGTCCATTAGTCGTTTTAGGAAGACCCTTCCTGGTTTAACTGCCCGATAAAGGAAATTCATTGACCCAACAAGGAATTGTACTTCCTTGGCCTTCATGGAGGTGGACCCCAATGCCCTCCTAACTGCTTGCCTAATGTTCTTTATCTTCTCTGCCGGTACCTTAATTTGCATGCAAGTCACGTCAATTTGTCTCCACGTTCGCCGCCCCAGCACTTCCCACGACGCCGACTGACGGAAGATGGCTCGCTGACGCAGTGCCTGTGCAGCTCGGCGCCACCTCTCTGGTCACTACTCCAGCGCTTCCTCCGCTGCCGACAGATTCACGGACAAGGTGGCGATGGGTGGTGCATTCATGATCACTGCTCCGGTACTGTCCCCGCCGCTGAAGGATATTAGTGATATGCTTGACGCTGAAGCGACGGCTCCGGCATTTAGGAACCCTGTCCCGACACTTCCTCCATTGACGGCTGACTGGCCCGAAGGTACCAGGGCCGAGGGAAGGCCTACTGCACCAGCATTGATGATCCCTGTCCCGGTGCCTCCTCCGATATCGACTGACTCTCCCCCAACTTGGGCAGCGAGATCCAAGGCGATGTTTTGACTGTTGGCCCGCTGATCGTCTAGCCCGCTTGGCGATCGGGTGGACAGTTTTTCTTGGCCTACCTCACTTGCCCATTATTATGATGTGTGGCTCACAAACAGACTTTTTGCTCCACAAGTGTAGCTAACCATGGAGGAAGGACACAAACAGGAGTCCTTCCTCCATGAGTTAACTGAGAACTGCTGGAAATTTGCGTATATCCTGTGGCTTGTAGAGCATGGAATGTCTCCATCGACTGACTCAAGCGAAGCTAGACCGAAAATGAAACAGTTGCAGTCGAGCTAAAACAAGCGCGCGCTCTGCAGCCCCAATTCCAGTAATGTAATACCTTGTATATACTTCCAACCACACGGCCGTCGCCGCTCCCCGAATTATATCAGAGATTTACCTCAGTGACCGTGCTGTGACCTTCCACAAAGTTGTTTGCACTTGAGGGTGCAAACTGACTTTTAGAAAATTAACGTGACGCGACCTGCACGGCGCACAAAGTGTGAGTACACTGGTTCCTACCACTAAAAATAGCCAGAACGGCATTGAATGGCAGAGAACCCGTGACCTCCACGACAAGAATACGCTCCGAACTTGGCCTACTTGAAAACAATAAACGATTAAAAAGCTTCAGAAAATATTCAGTGAGTTCGCCCACAAATTCGATTCTTCCTAATACACAGGAAATTTCCAGTTTCTTGTTATCATTTCCAGATCTTAATGCACGTTTTTTCAATGGTCGAGTATAGTTTGATCCCCTATTGAGCTAGAGCAATGGCCGGTTCACGTCAAAACTCTGGCGCGTTGTAACAAGAAACATTTTACATTTTCACTGTGGCACTGACTTTGATATTTTGAACTTTGTATTTAAAACAATTTCTTTAACCGAAAGTGATTTGAGAAAAGTAAATTAATTAATCTTATCTCACTGGTTAATCTTAATCAGTGGGAGAACAGCAGGGGATATAAAAGAACTTTATCTCTGGAACTTTAGAAGAGTTTTATAGTAGGGGGTGCTTTACGGGACATTCCTGTCTCGCGCGATCGCCAGGCGACATTAATTTGTAGTATTTTTTTCGTTCAGTTTCTTCTTTAAAATCCAACTTGGAAAAAGGGCTTTGAAAAATATTTGCTAGTATATCCATTCATAGAAACTGAAAAATTACCTGACGTAAAAGAGAAATATCCTGCCAAAAGTTGACCCATCACTTCCGAAAATCTAAAATATATGAAAATCAGTGCAATACGACAGTGTCGTACGCAGATGAATATTTACAGTTTGAAATTTTACTGTAGTCTGTGGGTAAAAACCAAAAGAAAACGTATCAAAATATTTTGCATATTTTGATAATTTATAGGGTGATAAACATAAAGCAATATTCTACTTTTACAAAAGATTCGGATATCTTTTCTAACCTTTGCTGACAACAACTGCGTGGTGTCAACTCAATGGAATCTGGAACTCATCGACTGCAGGTAGGTAACTCTTTGCAAGGTTGTACAATCTCGTTTTCAAGAATGCACGGCAAGTGAAAAAAACGTACATGAACAAGGAGACCTAGGTACGATATCGGCGGACACGAAAGGTCGTTAAAATGTTTTGTTTTTACCCATTTCCCGGTAACTTTTCCAAAATATTACTTGAGGAAGACAAAGGTAAAATTCCAACATGAGCGTTTCCTGGGGTGGCTTCAGTAAGGAATTATTTTTCCAAAAATTATCAAACGTGATAGCACGGCCCAATGTAAAATCCCCATAGGCAGACCGCGCAAGGGTTCCGGAAGCTGGCTGCCGTGACCTCTTACTTTCTGGTTCAATTGGCAGCCAATCTTAAGTTACTGTGGTCAAAATTGATGTACCATGAGAAATCTTTCTTACCCATTTGAAGAAGATGCTTGAAAGATGTTTTTGTCCAATTACGTCGCTATATAATTAGGCCAAACTAACAATGCCTGGGCTGCAAGTATTTTTTGGTTCTGATAATTCTACCCAGAATCACAAATTTGAACTTCACAAACTCTTCATCAAACAACAGGATAATTTTACACACTTTCCTTTTGAAACATACAAAGGTTTTGTCCCATTTTATTCTAATGTTATTTCTGGCTTTTGATTACCGCTATGTCGAAAAGCAATTGAGGCCCGAACCAATATTTAATTTTAATCAATGCAGGTCAACGACTTTCTACACCTACACTGCGTTTACCAAAGTCAAACATATATACCAGCAGAATAGAAATGTGACCCTAACTTGAAAAGTAGTCATCAAACATACCAAATGGTCCCTGAATTTGCTCAAAATAATTGCGTTTTAGTGATGAAGTTGCTACTTTTGCCAGTTCATTGTATATTGAGTTTACAATAGCTGTCGAATATAAAATATTTAAAGCGATGCATCATCACACGCTAAAAACACACAATGTACGTGGCACAGGGTTCATACTTCAGGGTGTCCTCCAAAAAGAATATTAATGATAAACGGAACTCAAAACTGACGTTTATTTTCTCCCGAAATAACTGTTAGAAATTGTTGTTTGAGATATCGAATTTAACTTATGGTGCTGTTGAATTGTGCCAAACATTTCATCTGGAGCTCATGCTGCATTGCAAAAATATTTTTAATTACGTAACAGAACTCAGTTAAATGGAGGTTTGCTTAATTAATCTTGCAAGTGTTTGTAATTATCGAATATAGGTATGGATTTCTTCATAAATATTGCGTACATTACAATGTGGAGGGGTAAAATCTCAGAATCTCGATTTTTTCGCATGACATTTTGGTTATAGGAGTAGTAGGAATCTGAGAACTGTGTCTCATTAAAACTTGCGCAACCGCGTTGCTTTGCTTGAGAGAGTTGGTCCAAAACCCGGGATTCCGGGTGCACAGTCTGGAGTTTTGGAGAGGTGGTCGGTTTCGAGACTGGAGCCAAGGTTGGGCTCGAGGCGCGGCTAGGCCGGCGAACCAACTGGAAAGGAGTCTACTCCGCAGCTGAGTTGAAAGCTCAGAACCAGAGTTGAAAACAAATTTAAGTGTGTGTTCATTCAACCGATTGCTTCCTTTGTCAACCGAGGTCGGCCTATTTGTAGCGGGCGCGCCCCCATTGGGTTCTTTGTTCAGCAATCTGAAGAGGCGTGGAGAGTCACGTTTCCACACACGGGGCAGGCAGGCGATTTTTTTTTTTATTCCAATCACACAAGCAGAAAGAGAAAGAGGGAAAATATCAAAAATTAGCCACTTAGTACTTGAAATAAGTACAGTCATGTGACCCAAACATAAATATATTGGCAAAGAGTACGGCCCTAAGCTGACTACCATGAGGGACAGTGATGTCACAACTGGAAAACCTCAGGAGATTCATGGATGAACATGTGTCGTTATATGTGGTGCAGTGATAAGCAGATGACACAAGGACTGGGAAGCAAGTCTAGTGTTTGCCAGGGAATCTAAAATGCACAGCAGTAATACACATTCTTAACTGTGTCATCCAAATTCCAGCAAAACCTATATAAATTGACATTATTCCTGATGAACATCTATTGATAAGCCAATGCATTTTGAGTTGATACACTGTACTTTTCATCTACTTGCAGTAATTTATAAATAAAATCTGCGAGCACACTCGATCACATGCAACAAAATTTAAGGCCTAAACACAGTACAAATTGTCACTGACTCTACATAAATATACTGTGGCCTAACTATAAACCAAGGCAATTTAGTTAATGCTCGTATGAGGACATAAATCGTAGCATATGTGCACAATAACAATGAACCTCGATCAATCATCTTATGTAGGCGTATGTCATGTGTAAACACAGAACACGCCGTTCTGTGGGCGGCGACATGTTGGAATAAAACTTCGGCCTAATTTTGACCCTTACAAGGCTTTAAAAAGTACATTAACACCTTTACAAGCACTACACAGTGATATAGGAAAACTTTGTGAACTCTGGTTGTATCCATATCATGTAAAAATAAAGAAATTCTCATACCTGAAGAGGCGTGGAGAGTCGCGTTTCCACACACGAGGCAGGCAGGCGATGTTTTGCCTGCTGCCACATGGTGGCGCTGTGACTACTCCGCGGTGGGTCACGCAAGGGATGTCGCCTTACCGCCCCTACATATTGTCGGGATTTACTTTCGGCTCTATTCAATCTGCAGTGACTCCCAGTTGTGTGCGTTTGTGACTGCAGTGGTGTGATTGGAGAACCAAAGTACACAGCCTTTCCTACGGAGCGCTTAGTGATTCACTGTACTGTATATGTAACCACGGAGAAATAAAGTTATTCAAAATCCTTGTCTGTGTCTAGTGTGTCCAGTTCACAACTACAAGAAGACTCCAGCCACTCCACCGTGATGAATGGTTGGACCGAGTTTTACAGGGACGGGGATGCTGTTTTTATGGTGTTATATTATGGTGTACTATTTACGACAAATATTTCTCTCTCTCTCTCTCTCTCTCTCTCTCTCGCATCCCTCCAGGCGACGCGACGGCACGACGGCTCCTTTGCGTAGTGCTGTCGGGTCGAACCGTCGCCTTCTTGCCATTTTGTTTGTACACACACGACGCATTTACGTCGCGTCATGCCGTCGCCCGTCGCGTCGTGCTGTCTTAGGTCCTTTCCTTGTTGCATTTTTTCTGCCTAAACGTCGCCCCTTCCGTCACCCGTCGCGTCGTGCGTTGTGTCGTGCATCGCGTCACCTGAAGCACGACGCGGCGCACGACAAGACGCATGACGCGACGCGTCGTGTTCTGTCGCCCTTTACTTCATGGTGTTTATAGAGGGCGCCTTTACTGTTTTCTTCCATTTCCGTCCACCTTTCTTGCAAAGTACATGCAATTCGCTCTTTAGTGTTGATTTTTCATTGTTTTTATCTCATCGATTCATTAATTGGGATTAATTTCAGTCATATTTTATTGAAAAAATAATAAAAGAGCAAAAGAAAATCTGAATGAATAGGAACTGCTCTCTCAAAATAAGTGGAAACCGCAAGCTCAGAATTCGTCACTCCTTAATTTCTCAGCCAATGATTTCTTTTGTTTCTCTCACTTCCGTCCATCGCGCTTGCAAAATACATGTCCTGATCAGCAGGCGTTGATTTTTTTTTGGGGGGGTTGTTTCATCCGTTCATCAAATTGAATTAGTTTTTGTCATACTTTATCGAAAAAAAAAGAAAATGAGCAAAAAGAATATCCCCGTATGTAGGTTCTCTCACATAATAAGTGTAAGCCCAGAATTCGTCACTTTTTAATTTACCTGGTTGATCCTTGTTCGAATGTCCGTCCAATTTCTTTTTAAGACCGTTGAGGAAGTTCCCACTTGTGGTAGATTTGTAACCTCTGTGGTCCATGCCAGCAGTTTCCAAGTAGTTCCCCCACTCCTCTCGACAATTTGTCTACAATTGTACGACCGCAAGTTTGACCACTTGAAGGAAAGGAAATAATACATAGATCAAAAAACCGCCTTTTATTATTTCTCAAATTACTGTTTTTGCCTTTTTTTCTTTGGATGGCATGGTTTCCGTTTCGCCGCCCCAAAATCCAAGTTTATGCGCTTAAAATGAATGTTAAATGAGAATTTACCACCCGTTCCGACCACCCACCGCTACTTATAAGTAGGGTTGCACACCAAATATGCCATTCTATGTGGTTTGTAAGAGCTGTAGAGGCTGGGGGACAACCACTGAAGTATTAATATTCATTTAGGACAGACTCAGGGCTCTGCAACCCTGAAAAATGAAACGGACTCAACGGAATAGTCCGCTCCCGAGACCGTGTGATTAAAAATTCAGATTGCCTCGCAGGGTTAATTAATCACGCACGAACTAATTGAAATCAATTGATTAATCACGAGTAGTGGCAAAATTCCAAGACGTGTTTAGTAACATGGTGTCAACACATGAATATGGAGCTCTCATCAGTTTCGGTACAGAAATTCTGCACAAGTATTCAATGCACACTATGCAGCAGCAAGTGCTAAGGCAAGTTTGTTTTTCTGTGTTTCTGCTTTTATGTTATTTCATTAATTCTGAAATCTGGAAAGCCATTGGCAGTATTCTCCGTAGCTGGTATAAAATTATCATGATTACATGTGGGTTATCCTGGAACGGTTACGGCTTGAGCTCCATGAACACATGGATCTGATGAGGACATACATTTTCTTGCTACTTCGCTTCGCTCATCTGCATGAAAAACAGTTTCGTGTTATTGGACTGCCAAAAGAAAAAGTCAGGGAGACCAGGAAATACTGTAATGTCTTTATTGGAAACCATGGGCGTGAAGTCTGAACACGAGCACCGATTGTCTTAACTTGTACACTTTAACAACTCTTACAAATTGAACCACAAGACAAACAACATTAAGAAACAAAAATAACGCAAACTGCAACATGATCACCTGATCTATCTTTTAAGGTCATCTAACCTTAGATAACAGCTAGCCTACACTTAGGCCAATCAACCATTCAACACATGAACTTGGGGAAAATCCCAAATAAATTCTGTTCAGATAAATCTGTGTTCGTTTTTTTTAACATTCGTTATCCAATTGGTGATCGCTTAGAACAATGGATGTCTAAAAGATTACTTACTAAAACAGGCTGGTTGAATTATGAGTAAATTTGCTTAATTATAAGACGAATCTTGACAGATATCGTAGAATGTGATTTAGAAAATTACTTAATGGACAAAGTCACTTTTGAAACTTTCAAACGTTCTGAAAAAAAACATTCTGTTTTTCTGCATTTTGTAGGTTACCTGACCTCACATAACGATCTTCCTACATGCCAATCAAAACATTTAACAATTGCTGATATGAATCAGTTCCGAACAAATCTTGTTAAACGTGTGTGTTCACTAGCTAGATTTTTTTTTACGTACTAATCAGACCAACGGGGTAGACGGATCCCAGTTAGACTTGTTAATATTGCACAAAAAAAAACCCTGCTTTCAATAAGTCCTGACGGATGTGACGAGAAACTTGAAGAGCAGTAGAGCTGCGTGTATTCGAGTGTGCTCAGGCAGAAAAAAGACCATCATCTAAATACAGAGCAATTAGAATGCCGCATGCTCTCCAGTGTTTCACCAACGGCTTTAGCAGCTTGTTAAAAATATAGGGAGCAGTACTCAATCCTAACGGCAATACGGTAAACTCAAAATACCTTCCAACTCCGTTAATGGTCCAAGCAAACCCCAAATAACACTGTGCAGATTCAGAAATGTCAACGTGAATGTCAACGTGATGCTACCCAGACTTGACGTCAAAAGGATATCATTAGAGCTTTCGAACACAGGTTCTGAAGAGCGCATTTCCTATCATCCGGTTTGAAGTTCACTTTGCTAACGAATTTATTTAGGACACTTAGATCAAGAATTAACAGTTTCTTTGAAGAGTTGTGAGAAACAAAAAGTGGGCTGACTTGAAAGGAAGGAGTAGATTTTTCTACAATACGATTTGATTTAAGTAGATCTAATCACGGACCATTTACCCAGGGATGTGCAACTTAAGCTTAGAGCTGGCTCAGTGCGTGTTATGGCCGGCACAATATCAAAGCAGAAATTAAGTTGGATTATGTAACACTTTCTCTAATAATAAAACATATATTCCTGTCTACCACTTTGCTTTCTTGTAATATTTTAAGTCAGGGTACACCCTTTCTAAAAATATGTTGTTCAAGAGATATCATCCTATACCTTCTGAGAAAAGTGTACCACAAAATTGGGGAATTTCGCCTCATTAAAACTTTGTTTCTCTTTGAAATCGAGAAATGAAGAAGATTAATTCGTCAAAACGAATAGATTTCGTCACCGCGTCGTCTCGGCATAACCACGGCTGCACTGTACATGCTGCATGCTGCAACGCGTGTCATGTGGTCGCGAATTTTTTTGGACAAAGTCGTGAGAGCCTCCGGAGGTAATAACAATCCGTACACGCATGGAACCAAGGTCGCACGTACATGTGTTTGCACAGGGGCCGCTCGCGGTTGCACATCCCTGGGTAAATGGCCCGTGATCTAATACACTTCGAGTTGAGAATGTAGCCTCTCGTAAAGCCGACTGATTGTTTCTAAAAACACTGGAGGAGGATCAAGTTACAAAAGGAATTCTGTATCCATTTTCGACATTAGATATAAATCATACCAGGCGCATTTTACCTATCGCCAAAACTCTGCATGCGTCTTTAGCCTCCCTTTTACTGGGATATCATCTGAAATCAAAGGTTTATATCCGAAGACTTTCCGGAACAATTTAGCTGAATTGCATCGTCAAACTGTCATACAAAACTTGTGAGGCGTCGGAGATGCCAGAGGGGCCGGGCTTGTCGCAGTCAACAGTGGCGGGATCGCAAACTGGGTGAGGCAGGGAGGGCTCACTGGGAGGCTGGGACGGTCCATACTGGAGATGGGTACCTGGGACCCCCAAATGCAAAGACTGAGCTGGGTCTGGTAGGAGCACGGTATCGGGCAAAGCAGCTGTGGCTTTGCATGAATGGACAGGAATTTGCCCAGTGACCGACAGAACCGCTTGCTTGTTGGAGAGAAAATTCAAGAAGCAGCAACAAGCGAAAATATTATATTTACTTATCTATCTTGAGTGCGGAAGGGATCGAAACCAATACATGATTAACGGTACAAGAATAGTGCACTGCGAGTCGAATGAGATTACGAGGGGTACAAACGCGTTAAATACATTGTACGCCTTAATAATCCACAAAGGGGAACCACAAAAGGCGTAGCGTAAATTTCTACCATCTAATTAGAATGCAAGTATTCGAACATTGCCATGTATGGCAGCCTAAACAAAGAAAACTAAATGTACGTACGACGACTACAACTTCGTCTCCGTCTTAGGTTTGTCTCTGAAACCAGTCCCTGATTGTAGGCCTGAAGTATTTTAATTAATTTGAAGTACCGTAATGCTTAGCTCTTTTGCTTCTAACTTGATTTTTGTTGCACTATCAGACTTACTTTCACGTTTAACAACTTCAAAGTCAGGTTAGAAAAGAGGAAGCCTGCAACGGAGCTGAAGTTGAGTATTGGAAATTGCATAGTCCGCCAAAAAGCTAGAGGCCTGGCCACTGATTCCATTATTAACATTTGTAGGAAAATTTTAATAAATCTTCGTTGTTGAGGCTCTAATACAGATTGCAGATTCCTCAATTTTAAAACAAAAAGCTGCTGATTTGTCTGGAACTGTTTGAATATAATAGTTCTTGCCTTCAAACGTGGGAAAAATTCTCCTTTAATGGCACTACCAAAGAGCTTGCAAAAGGATTTTTGAAAATGTGTATGTTTAAAAAGCTGTCAATCCCTAAAATAGACTCTTGAGAGGACTTAGCAAATCTAATTTCAGATAGGGTCTCTATAACCAAAATGTCACGTGAAAAAATTTGAAACTGTGAACTGTTTTGAACCTCAGCTTTTCCACACTGTAATACATGCAATATTTATCAAGAAAGTCTCTGACGTTAGGATTTATACTCGTTGATTACAAACACTTACAAGATTAAGTAAATCAACCTCCATCAAACAGAGTTCTGTTACGTAACTGAAAATATCTTTGCAATGCAGCATGAGCTCCGAATGAAATGTTTAGCTCAATTCAAAAGCACCATAAGTTAAATTTGAAAAGCACCATAAGTTAAATTTGATATTTCAAACAACAATTTCTAACAATTATTTCGGGACGAAATAAACGTTAGTTTTGAGTTCCGTTTATCTTTTGGGGGGACACCCGGTAGTATGAACCCTGTGCTACGTAATTTGCTTGTGTATAGCATGTAATGATGCATCGTCAATATTTTACAATCGACAACTATTTTCAACTAAAAATGCAATGAACTGGCAAAAGTGCGCACCTTCATCACTAAAAGGCAATTAGTTTGAGTAAATTCAGGGACTAGTTAGTATGTTTGGTGATTTTTTTTAAGTGGGGGTAACATGTTTATTCTGCTGGTATATACGTTTGACTTTGGTAGACGCAGTGTCGGTGTAGAGAGTCGTTGACTTGCATTGCTTAAAAATTAAATATTGGTTAAGGCCTCGATTGCTTTTCGACATAGCGGTAATCGAAAGCCGGAAATATAATGAAAATAAAGTAAGACAAAACCTTGAACTTTTTTAAAGGAACTGTCAAAAATTATCTTGTTGTTTGATATAAAATTCGTGAAGTTCAAGTTTGTGACTCTGGGTAAACCTATCAGATCCAAATATACTTAAAGCCCAGACATTAGCCTATTAGTTTTGCCTAATTATATAGCGATGCGGTTGGACAAAGACATCATTCGAGTATCTTGTTGAAATGGATAAGAAGGGTTTCTCCTGGTACATCAATTTCCACCACAGTAACTTTGGATTGGGTCCGAAATGNTTCTTTGTGCCATTGCAGGTGAGTTGATAATTCACGTAGCCTCTATGGGTGTTCTCTCGTGGTTAATACGCATCAATTAATTGTATCTTACGGTCCTGTGTAATAGTCTTCTGAATATTGGCCTTGCTCATCACAACTGCCTAATTGGCCCCTGAGCGAACGAGCGACAGCGATGTCGTAAACCTTTCTGACTATGTTAGCCTGCACTCGCCACATGGACCGCATCATTGAGTCTTAGACTCAAATGCCACAGCGAACTGGTCACGTGATGAGAGCTTCATCCCCTGAGAGACAATCCAGCTCAGTTTGGTAAAACGGGGAAGCGATTAATGCAATTTCTTCTTTTCTCATGGATGTGCACATATGTACGTACAACCAAGGCGGCAGACTATACTAGTGACATACCAAGGCAAGCCTGAAATAGTGTTACCCATGACAGATACATTTATCACCCCTGCGCCCTTAAGTTATTAAAGTAACCGCGGGTTTTATATATTGTAGCGGCCATTACAAGTTTTATAATTTTTTAATGTCATTTATGTTTTTGACTGAAGACCCTGTTTTGTTTTTTTGTATTTATTTATTTATTTATTTTTTTTATCGCGTCCTCCTCGTGTTATGACATTCATGCCATGGCGGGGCATGTTAAATGTCATCCCGCGATCGCACGTGACAAGAATTTCCCGTTATAGCGCTCCCTGCTATAAAACTCTTCTAAAGGTCCAAAGATAAAGGTATTTTCACATTCTTGGCTGTTCTCCGACTGATTAAGATTAATTAGTGAGATTAAATAATTAATTTTTCCCAAATCATTTTCAGTTAAAGCAGTTCTTTCAATGCAATGTTCAACATATCAATTTAAGTCAAAGCCACAGTTAAAAATGTCGTTTTTTTCTTACAACGCTCCAGACGTATGACGTGACCGACTATTGCTCTTGTTTCAGAACCAAGAAGGGATCAAGCTTTACTTGACCACTGAAAATACTTGCACTAGGACCTGGAAATGATAACAAGAAAATGCAAATTTTTGCTATGCATTATGAAGAATCTAATTCTGTGGACGAACTCACCGAATATTTTGTGAAGTTTGTTTTTAAACCGTTTATTGTTTTCGGGTTGTGGAAGATGTGAACGTATTCTTGTCGCGGAAGTCACGGGCTCTCTGCCATTCAATGCCGTTCTGGATATTTTTAGTTTTTTTAGGAACCAGTGAACATATACTTTGTGCGCAGTGCAGGTGGCGTCCCATTATTTTTCAAAAAAACAGTTTAAGGGTTACCAATTAAAACCTGAAATAATTTGTAAAAACTGGGGTTGTGAAATGTTTTTGTTGTAATGTAGGTTTTGTGCGTTTATAATCAAACAAATAAAACATGATGGCCCAACAGAGCAATTTGTTTGTGACTTGTCACTTCGTTTCTTTTATTCTTAATTTTTATTTTCTTTTTTCTTTTTTGTTTCTTTTGTTTTAATAGTGCAACAAATCCATGGCCACCCGGATGTAAATACTAAAGAGGGAGGGAGAGTGTAAGTAAAGTTGTGTCGTATAGTTTGATTAGAATAAATATTCCAAAGGCATTCGTATCGTCATTGCATATGTTATTAAGGAACAAAATTTTGCTTGGCAGGACTTAACCAACTATGTTCTTCTAGACTGTTTAATAGGGGCTTTTGAATCTGTAGATAACCCTAACAGATAGCCAGGGTAATTGTAAGCCTTATTATTATCCTGAAGGTATGAGATTCATAGAACGTTGTAGGTCCTACATACGGTTTTGTACAATTCAAAAATAAATCCTGCAAACTATTCGAATAGTTCTGACTTGCCATTTTGTGTGCTTTTTCGTATCCATGTTCACGATCCAATGTTAATTGAATTGTTTCCGACTTCAACACAGAACATGTTAACGTGATATTTGACCATCCGCCTGACGAAAATGGCCGTATTGCCGTTAGTGATCGGCAAAATAATATGAAAACGTTAGAAATGTGTTCACTTGTTAATATTTTGTCAACAACTACAAAACCAAAACTACTACATAAATATGGAATTGAACTGAACCGGACATTTTGGAATTTGGAAAGCGAATTCCTTCAATATTTTGGGTAATTTATTTTCATATGGGAGGTGTTACATAAACTTTCCGGCCTTTTCATAAAGTTTACATTCACTGCTGATTTTTTGACTGCGTTAGATTATAACTCATTCAAAAATTGTTTCCAACAGAACGATTCTCTCACCCAAAATTTCCCTGTAATATATTTGCCTTTAGAATTGTGAGCTACACCAAAAACAAAACAGTCGTGTCGACATTTTGTCAGTCGTATAATCCACCCTTCAATTGCACTGGTTTAAAATGTTGCCATTCATTTCTGTGCGAAATCAAATGCACCTCTGCAATCTTGCATTCATCTTAATTGCAATTCATCTCTTTCGCCAAATGTGCAGGCGATTTGCGTGAAGTGTTATTTAGGGTATGCCTGGTCAAAACTTTTAATTCTTTTGTGTACTAATAGAGAAAGTGTTTAGTTGAATAATTAACGTTTGAATATTCATGACTGAAATAGACCACGCATACCGACTATTGTACGAATCCTATACAAACACCGACGCTACCGGTACCAGTAACGTACCTTTTCTTCTCGTGCTACCGTAGGCTACGTTTTCGCCACAATCACATGAAAGTTCACACATGTCCTTCCTGCAATGGCGGAACGGGAAGACACAGAATAATCATAGACTTTAATTGGCGAACAGTTTGAAAACGAACACACTGTAATCCTCACGAGTAACATTTAATTCATTATCAAAGTAGTGTCATGATTTCTGTAAACCTGTAGCTCGCAAGCCTNAAAGAAACCTGCAGAGAGGAGACAATGAGAAGCAGTTACAATTTTAGAGGTGGTAGGAAAACCCCGGAGAGATATTTCTGGGTAAAACCCACGAAATCAGGTAGGGACTGAAAACCCAGTTCACAGAACCCGGACTGAAGAGGTGAAAGGTGAGGAAAGAACCACTACGCCAACCTAACTCCCTAATCAAGATAAAAGTCTGACATCACCTCACCTCGACTGCAATGTAGCGTATAAGACACTGACTTGTCGTTGATCTGGCTGAAACTGGTTGGTATTTTGTCGACCGTATAATGCATTTATTCAGCAGTGTATGAAATTGGGAAACACAACCTTTAATTTATAACAGGTGATATAATGGATATCTTGGACCCATTTTCTGCAGGGCTCGCGGCTATCCGCACTTCTGTGGCGCGTCTCTTCAAGAAAAATATCGGGAGATTTGCCATGCATTCCGTGGAGTCTCCAACCAAGGTAGTCAAAAATCGATATCTCATCCGTGGTGTAGCCCAGAGAGAGTACAATACACCCAGCAAGATATGGGACGGAGGGGTACCCTACACATGCCTAATCCCTATACACATTCCCCAAGACGTCTGTAAAGAATTCCTGAGATTCTGATCAAACAGTGACCGCCACAAAGGGGGGGGGGGGCTCTCTGTCCCATATATTGCTTCATTTGTGTATATAGTATCAGAAACCTCCTTTCGAATCCAAATAAAAACAGCTAATTTCAGACTAATCCAATTTAAGCATCGAGACTGCCCTTTCCACATTCTCTCTAGGGCTTTTCAAAAAAAGAACGTGTAAACAAAGCGCTGCTTGTCGTAATGCTGTCACAAAAAAAGCATTCGCTTCAAAACCTACAGAAACTGAAAACTGAAATCAAGCAAATTAGCAGTTTTCGTCTTATTTCCCTCTTTTCTGTTTTACTTAACATTTCGTGCCTTTTGTTCCAATGTGGGGGTCCCACCTCGCTCCCCTCGATGCATGTCTCCGTCGACAGGCTGTACGTGTCATACTGGAGAAGGCTGCAGAGAACGTTCTTGTCAATTAAAGGGTCCTCTCATTTCTCCTCACTCTGTTGTTTTGTAAAAAATGATAGAGTTGTTTCTAGTTAACTTTTTTTTCGTTGTCACATGCTTTGCAGAGTTTCTGGATTCAAAGGACGCCAACACATTCTTGTTTGGACGTGGTATCGGGAAGCGAAACCTTAACGAGGAATGCTGCGGTGAGGGATGCTCCGACGAGGAAATTTATGAACTCTGCTAAAGGAGAAACTACCGTGAACCTAGCTGACTTCTTGTTATCGGCATATTCAGTCTTAAAACTACTGTGATATGATTGGTGTTGGTTTTCTTCAATAAATAATAAATAAAAAAACTCATTTCCTTCCTTTCTGACATGACGTGAACATTCAGCACACAGCTGCTATTTCTAATCCGTATATTACCTCCCATTTTGCCCTAAAGTGTTGGATGTTTCAAAACAAATCGTTGGACCTCGACATGCATAGCAAAAAATATGCCCAGTTTTGATCCAATTGAAGAGATTCAACCTTTTCTCCTAGCAGACGATTAAATGCTCAGCACACTGATCATCCCTTCAGGTTCCTCAAGGTTCTGATTAAATCTTTTATTTTGATGGAAAGTCTTTTGATCAAGCAATTCCAATAATAATAAACAATCGTAATAAAGAATGACTCCTGCCTGTTATGTGCTTTGGGTCATAATGACGAATGCGATAAATCACCAAACCATAGCAAAAACAATTTCCGTGCCAATCCATGCTTATGCATTATTGGCGATTCTTCTTTCGGGGGATATACCTTGCTTTAAATTAGCAAGACTAACGACGAAGGGCTTATGTTAAGATTATTTCGCCCTTCCGGCTGTTCTTCCTTTTTTGTTTTATCTTTCCAATTAGCACAACTGTGATTTGAGTCTGCATGAAAGATTAAAATTTACTTGCAAAGCATTCCAATTTGTAAACTGTGTGATGATTTTTACATGTAGTTTCTGGACGATGCAGAACGTCAAATTGATATGTAAGATTGACTATCCGGGACATCATGTTAATTTCTGCACTACAGACTAAAGAACATTAACCAAATTTGTCAAAGCGTAAGGAGAACAAAGGAAAAAGTCACCTACAATTGTAATGGA